TGGCCCCAGGACATGATGATGAGAGAACAGCTGGGGAAATGGAAGGGAGAAGCAGAGCCCATTCTCCCCCTGTACTGCAGTCCCGATCTGAATCATGGCCTGGCCCTCCTGGAAAACAAGTTCTGCCTCTCCTGAAGTCTGGCTGTCAGGGTCAAATCCAGAGGTCGATTCGGGGGGGATCGCAGTTCCCCCAGGTGAGGTGTGGGGGGGTGGGGCACATGACGAAGCCCCGCCCCCTGCTTCTAGCCACCCCGCTTCCAGCCCTCATTCAGCCAGGAGGAAGCAGGAGAAGAGGGAGGGTAAGTTGCTTCCTCCCCGCCTCTCCCCACCCCTGCCTGCCTGGGGCCAGGGAGGGCCTTGGCGGGGCTTCCTCGCACTCCCGCCGGCCTTGCAGGTCCACCGCCGGGCCCCTGATGTCAGGGGGTGTGGCATATGCTAATGAGTTATGCTAATGAGTTCCCCTAGCTCTTTTTCTACGAAACGACCCCTGGTCAAATCCCTACTCTTCTGCCCAGCTGCTTCTTAGCCACTCCACAGGGTGCCCTCTTCGCTGGAACAGATGCACTTCTCCAGCAGTAGAAAGCACAGCACTTTTCCACTTCAGCTCACTCACTGGCTTCTTCCAGAGTCTCTTCCCGCTTCCACCCAAGATTGAACCCATGAGGCCCTCTTTTTTTCTAATGCCTCACCGCCTTCAAAGATCACTTTTTACAGGATGGCAGGGTTCCGAAACCTGGATCCACTCTGCAGGGGGAAAGCAATCTATAAATATTTTAATGATAATACATAATACGATTCTTAAAGGTTAAAATTTGTATTTGTGGTATTTCACTAGTGGTTTATTTGCTTGTATTGTTTCTTTTATTGGTTTTTCTAGTTTTCACAGCTTTTTTAAAATGATGCTCAGGACTTTTTTTTCTTTCTGGAAAAAGTGCCAGAACTATTCAAAAGGGAACCAAATTTTCAATCTGTATACTGAAAACTCATGAAGAACTTCTAAACATTTTTAAAGTAATTTTGTCAAAGAGGTTCCAGAACTCCATTCCAGTGCATTCCCCCAGAAAAAAAGCCCTGATTGCTTTTATATTTGTGTATATGTTATCCGTACCTAGAGTTGCCAACAGGCCTGGAGAAAAATGTCCTGTCCCTTTAATAATGTGTGCAAATGGGCAGCTGAAAATTTTCATGGCATGGAGGGAAATAACAGCACGACGTGGTAGATAAAATATTAAAGGGATAGGACATTTCTTCTCTAGACCTGCTGGCAACCCTGCCCATACCCTACCTTGACTACAAGGCAGTACAATAATAACTGAAGCAATCAGACAAAAGGAGTTCAAGACTGGTCAAATGATAGGTCAGGAATTGCTCTCCTGGTTCTGTGAGGGATTTGTTTACACCTAATGACTCAGAAGATCAGGATGATGTTCTTCACTTTTTCTCCCTTTGCTTATTTTTCAGTTATCCAAACAGTATGGGCCTGTGTTCAGCCTTCAAATGGGATCCCAGAAAATGGTAGTGCTGACAGGGTATGAGACTGTAAAGGAGGCTTTGGTGAACCAGGCCGAAGCCTTTGCTGGGAGGCCCGTCATCCCAATGTTTGAAGAATTCATGAAGGGTTATGGTGAGGTCCCTTCGTTCCTCTTGTGCCTATATATATGAAGCACAGCAACAGAAAGTCCATCTCAAATGTTGTTGTAGGAGAAATTCTGTACCTAAAGAACTAGGGTAATTAAACTGTAGCTTAGGAGTAGGCTGTTGTTAAGACCTGTAGCCGCTAGCTTATCTCCAAGCCATACTTTAAAATTATGCTTAGGATGGACAAAATTGAGAGAGAGAACTTTTTCTCCCACAGTACTAGAATTTAGGGACACCCAATGAAGTTGTTGGTTGACAGAATCCAGACAGACAAAAGGAAATATTTCTTTACTTGATGAGGAATTAAACTGTGGAATTCACTGCCAGTGGATGTAATGATGACTGTGAGCATAGATGACTCAAAAAGGGATTAGGCAGATTAATTGGGGTGGGTAATTTCATTAATGTTGGAGGATACGTCCATTAATAGCTACTAGCCACAATAACTGAAGAGAATCTCCATGTTCATAAGTAGTTAAACCTCTCAAAACCAATGCTAGGAAGTAACATCTATATTCTGTACTTCTATACCTGCATCTGCATATCCTGCTTGTTAGCCTTCCAGGCCAACTAGTTGGCCACTGTGTAAAACAGGATGCTGAACTCCGTGGGGCCACTGAGCTATTCCTATGTACGTCAGATTCCCAGGAGGTCTCCCATCCAGCCCTGATGAGCTTTAGCAAAATGGCTGCCTCATGTCCTTTCTAGCCATATCCTTCGGCCACATGTCCTTCCTTCATTCAAGGTGTTTCTCTTGCACAATGGAGAATATTCAGGGAAAATGTTCTCCCTTTCCAGCTTCCTTCCTTTCTTACTAGCCAGAGGAGATGTGTTTATGGTAGTTAGCATCAAGCCTGAAGAACAGTTAGCTGGAGTATCCCAAGAAAACACAAATCACATTATGGAATTATGGACCACACAGTCCACCTAGATGGGTGTTAGATGGGACCACTGCCCTATAGGAGGAGAGAAGGCTTGAAGACGGTGAAAGTTTGCCATAAAGAGTTGTGGGAGTCTGTAGAGAAGGTAGAAGGTAGCTCTCTGACATAACACTGTACCCCAGGAAAAGGATTCTGTCAGTTAACCCCATGTTTTATTGAATCAAAAGGTTATTACTACTCTTAGCAATTAAGAATATAATTGAATATGTAATGTAATTTGGAATGGTAGATTTAAATGCAGTTCTTTGTCTGGGGGACAGGGAAAACACTCTACACAGTCAAGATGCTGTAAAATTCACCTCCATGCTTGAAAGGATATGGATGAGGTCTAAGGACGGGATTCTCACAAATTAGGGAACATCAATCTCCAGTTCTAACGTATTTATTACCTATGTTGTTTCTCCCCCCCCCCCCAACCAAAACAGATGATAACCAGGAACTCAGTGTGTCATTCTTTTGATCTGTTTTAAAAAATGTGTCCTCACTATTTTGCATGCTAATTTAACAAACCACTC